ACGTAGAGAACCATGCCACCTGTTTTCCCCACCAGGGTACATTTTTTAAAAAGCACAGGGCGTAGGATCAGCAGATTGCATAATGGTTATGTCATTGGACTCCCATATAGTTGATCTCGGTTTGAGTCCTGGACCTGGTGGCTTAAAACTCACAGGGTGTGCTTATGTACGCATGCCCAAATCCTGAGAGGAGAATGGAGGAGAAGGGATTGTGGTGTGGCTATCCCCTTAGGGGATTATTTTTTGCTTTCTTTCTGTCTGGCGAGCGCACGTGCCCTATATAAAAAATCTCTCTTAAAAAAAAATGTAAATGAAAGAGCCTTCTAGTTGGACTTATGCAGAAACAGGGAGTGGATTATCTTGCCTAGCAGCAGCATGGGCTTTATGGAGTGTCCTCCTCCTCCCTACATTCCACCCAACATAGCAAGCCCCCTCACACTGGGCATGCGCAGGCAGAGAGCTGTGACGTGCTTTGTGCCCCCTGGCTTTGGCGCTCAGTCTCCCTTTCTTTCTCTGTTACCCCCACCGTATTGTTTCAGAAGAAATCTCACACACTGAATTGTTTCTTCTGTGAACATTTCAGTATATATCTCTAAATTGTAAGGACTTTTTCTTGTATATATAAGAGGAATTACATTATCACATCCCTAAAATAATAGCCATAATTGTTTAATATCATGACATCTCCAGTTGGGGAACAAACTAATATTTTGTTTGTGTTTCTTGAGTTCTGAGGAGAGGCAGTCCCTGGAAAGGTCATGTGTAACTGAGGAAATTTTACTGATACGCCATGCTCATTTTGTGGAATGTTATCTTTCATCAGATCCTAAATGTAAAATTTGCAAAGGATTCCAGAGGATTGTTTTACCTCCATTGTTTTTTTGAAGTAGAGTAAAATGAAGTAGCAACAGCAGCAGGTGGTGGTGGCTGGAAGGCATATGTGAGGAATACTTTGGTATTGACAGTGGTAGTGACAGCTGTGGGGCACACATAAAAGTCATAAAGACTGCTCTGCTACTTTCATATGCTTTCTTTGCCACCTTGTTAGGTTTTATATATATCATTCATGATAGAGAGGATACAAGTGCTTGTGAGAGAGAGAGAGGAACAGCCTGTGACAGGCTCTGGTCATGCTACAACCCTCTTTCTCTAGCCCTCCAGCTCCTCAGAATCATGGGCACAGAAATGTGCATCTGGTGTATTTTCAGACCAACCTGGGGATCCGAACTCCACTTGGTGATGTGACTTCCTGCATTGGGTCAGTTTGCTACCAATTGCATCCCAGGCTGTGCCTCTTTGTAATTGTTTTATAAAGAATTATTTTATTTATCTATTATTATTATTTCACATGAGTTTTGCCAGAGAAAGACAGAGAGAGGGGGAAAGTGAGAAAGCAAGCCGCCAGGTCTGGGACTCGAACCGTGGTCGGCCACGTGGGAATTCCAGCGCCTTAACCACTATGCCACCTGCTGGCCCCCCTCTTTGTAATTTTTTAGATTAAAATTTATTTATTTTACTTGACTGGTATGAAGTGTATTCATGTTATGGTAATTTCGCCATATAAGCTGTAGTGATGTATAGTGATTGAATGTATAAAATTTTAAAAAATTGTTTATTTCATGAGAGAGAGAAAGAGACAGGCATCCTCAATAGGGTGGTTTTTGGTCATGGTTTTTAATTTGTATAGAGGGAGAAAAAGGGAATGTGAGAAAGCAGGCCACCAGATCTGGGACGCAAACCTTGTTAGGCCATGTGGGAGTCTAGCACCCTAACCACCACGCTACTTGCTGGCCCCCTCAATAGGGTCTTATTACATTACAGTCCACCCTCAGCAGCTTTTCTTTACTTTTTTTTAGTTTGCTATAGGGTACATACAGAGAGAGAGAGAGAGAGAGAGAAAGAGAGAGAGAAAGTGAGAAATCACCCCTATGGGGTTGGCCATGCCACAATCCCTTCTCCTCATTGCCTCTTGGGATTTTGGGCATGCATACACACACAAGCACGCACACACACACACACACACACACACACACACACTTGTTTTTAAGCCACCAGATCTGGAATTCAAACTGTGCATGCAGTCAGCATGTACAGTTCCAGCCACTTAACCTCTATGCCACCTGCTGGCCCTCCCCTATCTTTTCTAGCCAGCATCATAGGTGTGTGTGCATACACACCAGCTTGTTTCAGTTAGCTGGAATCTGAACCTCTGGTGTTCCACATGGCTTTCAGTATTGCAAAGCAGTGCCCTACTGCCTGCACCATTATAGCTTGGCAACTTTCTTTATAATTTTACTTTCTCATATATTTCTTTGACCTTCTCCTTCCCAGTACTTAATGTATTAAACATGAACTGAACTCTTAAATTTTTCTTCTAGGGCTGGTTCTGTGGACTGGTGTTTAAGAGAGCCAGATCCCACATGGCTGGCTGCATAGTTTGAATCCTGACCCCAGCTGTTTGAAAAACACACCAGGCACATGTGTTTGCATGCCCCAAATCCCAAGAAGATGGAGAAATGAAGAAAGAACTGTGGTGTAATAACACCCCTATGGGGAATGCTTTCTTCCTCTCTGTCTCTATCTCTCTGTCTCTCTATAGCAGGTGCACATATCCTGTGGCAAAAACTTAAAAAAAAATTTGGGGGGGGGAGGAAATCAGCAGATGGCATAATGGTTATGTTGCTGGACTCCCACATGGTCAACCATGGTTTGAGTCCTGGACCTGGCAGCTTAAAACTCATGCCAGATGTGTGTGTGAGAGTGCTCAAAATCCCAAGAGGAGAATGGAGGAGAAGGGATTGTGGCATGGCCATCCCCCCACCGGATGATTTCTTGCTTTCTGTCTCTGTCTCTCCAGTGAGTGCACACACCCTAAAGCAAAAAAATTTTTAAAAATAATTATTTATTTAATTTTATTTATTCATGCATTTATTTTAATTTGACCAGAGTGAGGTAGAAAGAGGAAGTGAGAAAGCAAGCCACCAGGTACAGGACTTGAACCATGGTTGGCCATGTGGGAGTGTCCAACGCCTTAACCACCATGCCACCTGCTGGTCCCAAACAAAATATCTTAAATTTTTTTTTTTTTTCTAATATTGACCATTTTTTTTCCTTAAGGAATTATCTGTGGGGGCCAGCAAGTGGCATGGTGGTAAATGAGCTGAACTTCCACATGGCTGACTGCGGTTCGAATCCCGAACCTGTCAGCTTGCTTTCTTACTTTCTCTCACTCTGGTAAGTGTATGTGAGCTGAAACAAATGAAAAAATAATTATAAAGGTAAATGAAATTAAATAAATAATAAAATTTTTAAAGAATCTGTGAGACCCGCAAATGGCATAGTGGTTACCTTGCTGGACTCCCACGTGGCCATTTGTGGTTCAAGTCTTGGACCCTGTGGCTTGAAATTCACACCTGGGCCCAAGATCCCAGGAGGAGAATGGAGGAGAAGAGATTGAGGCATGGCCATGCTCCCATGGGATGATTTCTCACTTTCCCTTTTACTCTCTTTGTCTCTCTGGCAAGTGCAAGTACCCTGTGGCAAAAACCTCTAAAAAAAAAAGTATTATGTATTTTGGGGCCAGCAGGTGCATAGTGGTTAAGGTGTTGGACTCCCACATGGCCAACTGTGGTTTGAGTCCTGGACCTGGCAGTTTGAAACTCATATTAGAACTCATTTATAAATATAAATAGATAGATAGATAGATAGATAGATAGACCGACCGACCGACCGACCAACCAACCAGAGAGGGACAGAGTGAAAGAGAGAGAAAGGAAAAGTAAGAAAGCAAGCTGCCAGGTCCGGGACTCAAACTATGGTCAGCCATGTGGGAGTCCAGCGTCCTAAACTACTATGCCACTTGCCAGCCCCTCTTTTTTTTTTTTTTCTTAAGAGAAATGTTTGCTATAGGGCACGTACACTCGCCAGAGAGACAGAAAGTGAGAAATCACTCCCTGGGGGAATGGCTATACCGCATTTCCTTCTCCTCTATTTTCCTCTTGGGATTTTGGGCATGCATGCACACGTGCCCCTCATGAGTTGTAAGCCACCAGATCCAGGACTATAGTAGACTACCTAGGAGTATAGCAATGTATCCATTATGCCGTCTGCTGGTCCCTGGTCAATTGTTTTACTTAGTTACACTCTTATTGCTATAGAGAAGTTTATCATGTATTTATCAAATTAATAATTTCTTGTTACTGGGACCAGCAGATGGC